GGCCTCACATAGCTTGCGGCATGCCAAGTTAAGGTTGACACAATATCAAAGCCATTTTTGTGGACCCACCATCATTTCCCATTCCGATGCCTTCTGCCTTCAGTAATTGAGCCACAAGTGCTAGGAAATGATCGAGCAGTGCAGTCTTCAGACCCTCTTTCTGTGCGATGGTTGTGACCTTGTCAATACCAGATATTTTGTTAGCACTAAAGATACCAGAAACAAGAAGCCCGCTTGAGTCCCCAACCTCATCATGCTGTTGAAAAACTAAAAAAAAGAAGAGATTTTTACACTAACAGAGCCAATCACATCTACCAATATATGAGAATTTGAGTAGCAGCCATGGTCCCACTGATTAGTTACAACCTACCCCTGTACTGAAACAATTTGACTCATTCTACAGAGACAAATCGACGAAGCAAAGCATGCCAGTGTGAAGAAACTCCATAAATAAAAAATTGTACAATAACAACCATTATTACCGAAGCACTCCACTAATGATCACAACGCTGAAAAGTTGTGCAAATTTTACGTCAGTAAATCCAATCGCATTCAACAATATGCTGAAATTTAGCACCCGGCCATGTTGCCAGTGATGAACTGATGATAAACAAAATCGATAAAGGTGGGTATAGAACGACGATAACCAAACAAAATATAGCCACGATTAGCAGAAAATTCACGAGGACCAACCCACTCGCTGCCGTTGGCAGGGACGACATCCATGCGCATGCCGACGAAGGAGGCAACGCGGCCGGGGACAGTGCCGGGGTAATCGAATCATAAATAAATTAATCGTATCGCAGGGGGAGAGAAAGGGAAACCGAAGAATTATGAACTTGCAAAGAGCTGTATGGTTGTATAGACCTGCCACATCAGACAGCATAAGTAGCTTCGAATTGACAGCTTTGAACTGCTCTCTTCACAACCAATCTTGGCTCACCATCGTTACCTCTGTATGTCAAAAGAATGAAAACAAATGAGAAGTAGCTAATGTCCTTGTTTTGTTTACAGAGCTAATTTCCGTTTCTTGTAAGATTCAAATCAACTCATTTGTGGTCCGGTGCTGACCTGCGTGTTCCCGTGGAGCCTACCTCCGTGCTCCAGAAGACAGACCTTGGTCGGCGCCGGAGGTGCTCGCTGTTCCCGTCCCTCGACCTTGGCCTCCATGTCCGTCATGGACGTCGGGGCCCGGGGGTGCTGCCGCTGTTAGATAGAGGCCGCCTTCGCGGTCGTGTCGCTCCCCGTCACAGTCGACGAGACCCCCGTGCCCCGTGCAGGTGCGCATGGGCGGCGCCAGGGGTATTCCCCTGTATGCCATGGAATATCTAAGATTTTGGTAAGGAAAAATAAATATACATAGTATACATGTACATTCCACTGTCTAATTGGACCAAAAGCCCACGGATGATCAGCCCACAAGGCCACAAGAAACAGACCTATAGCAGCCAGCGTTGCTCCCTTCGCTGCTTGTTCAGCACCTCGCGTACTGTGTCCCAAGCTAGCGGCGGCAGTGGCCTGAGCGGCGGCGCATCTGCATTCCCGAAGAGCGGATGCTGCTGCGGACTGCGGTGCTGCCCTGAGGCGGTAGCGGCCGGTGGCCAGCAGCAGCAAGCAGACGAGCAGTGCATCCCCTCTAATTTAGAATGAATCACAATTCACAATCTTAATTGATGAAATTTAGAGTGAAGCACTGTATGTCTATTTGTTTGCTGCAATTTAAACAAATTTATTTGTCCATGCTATTGGGTGCTACTTTGTTTAGTATCCTGATGAAATTCTAAAAATAATTTTATTTTTTCTTTTTACATTCTGTTTGTAAATTGTAATGCACATGAAAAAAAAGTGTGTTAGCACTAACATATTTGTATTGTGGGAGAAAGTTAGCACTTGTATGAACAGAGTTAAGACGTGACCGTCTTCCTCCTCGCGCGCCCTTCTTTCTCTCCGCGCGCCCTTTCTCCCCCACCTCGCCTCCTCCCTAGGCGCCCTGGCCAGCAGCAGCCTCGCCGCCAGCCGCGCCGCCCACCTCCCACCCCCGCCACTCCGCCCCGCCATCTACTAACCACAGGGTGCCGCACCGGCGGTCTCCTCGTCTTCGCCCTGGCCGCCGCCCCCACCCCTCGACCCCGCCCACCCTAATCCCAGGGTAGGGCGCCGACGAGCTTTGCCGCGACGCCCCGCCGTCGGCCCCACCCAACCGCCTTCTCCCGCCGCCTCGAAACCCTAGGCGGCTTTTTCTTCCTCTCCGACGCGGGCGTGGGTGCGGGCGCGTGGGCACGTGGGTGCTCGACGCGGCGCACGACCATCGTGTAATAACTTTTTTCTACATGGAATACCTGCCGCAGAAGATCCTAACCAGATCGCAGTGCGGGCATGCGCCCGTGCCCTCGCGAGCGAGAGAGAGATGGAGAGCGAGGACGCCGAGGAGCGACGCACGGAGCCACCGAGAAGGCTAGACGGGGGTTCCCCAGCTCTGCGCGGCCGGCGGCGGCGCGCCCAGATCGGCAAGCGGCGCGGCGGCGATGGTGCTGGCGCGGCGGTGGCGCTGGCCTGCTGCGGGCGGGCGTGGCGAGGATAGGGCACGTCGCGGCGGCGGCGGCGCGCCTCATCGTGGGCGGGCGAGGTAGGCGCGATGGGGCGCGCCGAGAATCACGGGAGCGGGTTTTGTTTTCTTCCGAGCGATGTTTCTTTCCTTGCAAAGGGAGATTGGGGCGAAGAAGCGCGTGCGGCATGGGCGCGAGCGAGGTTTCTTTCTGCCGGAGCGACGTTTCTTTCTGCACAAGGGAGACGAGCATGAACGCAGTTGGAACGTCGCACCAAAAGCGGTGTTCACTCTTTAGTCGTTTTAAAGATAAGAGATATTGGAGATTTTGTTCTTCATAAAATTGAGCGTCAACAACTTGGTAATGAAATAAAGAGTCAAGGCTCAAGAAGGAAGTTCTCATAAAAAATTGTTCTCTTAATAAAAGGTACCTCAACAACTTGGTAATGAAATTTTCATAGAGAAGAGTCATCAAGAATGTAAAGCCCCATGATGAAAAGAAAAACAACGAAAACAGCACTCTCGGACGGTAGCGGGCAAAAATTCATACATGCTCACGGGACAGGGGAAAAAAAGAACGCCGCATACGAACACGAAAATAAAAGAGACACGCTAGGACGGAGGACGCTCACGTATCTCGGACGGATTTAGAAAACAGATAACGCACGCATGCATTGTGGGTTGGACGCATTACGAAAAAACAAAGAAAGTCGCCTGGGCTTAACGAGAAATTCCTGAAAAGAAAAAAAATAATTAAGAAACTCTTCTTAGTTTAATCTTAGGGCAAGATATTTTTTTTTAATTTCTACTTTAATCATTTTCTATTTGGACTAAGATTCTTACCCATCTTACTCATGATCAGATAGATCTATTTGATTAGAATTCCTAACTATCCAGGTTACACAAAAACCTATGTCCAAGCAATGCATGTCATATAAAATAGGAGAGGTCATAGACAAACAAACAGAGATAGTTTTACATTCACGGAGTTAGTAGAGAGCTGGACCAAAAAAGGGGGGAAATTGGGCGCTTTAATATTTGTAATAATAGATATAAGTTTAGGACGACCAGAACCTCCTAACATGAAATATGTTGGGTAATTAGAGCATTTCAAGAATACCCAATAATTTCTTCCCAAAAACATGGTGTTTTCTAACTTCCAAAAAAGTATTGGAAGAAATAAATAAGACCATCTCCAACAGTTTACAATAATTCACTCCTTGCATCTACATTGCCACCGCTGACCTGCACAGTTCTACCGACCCGGGCCAGCCCCTAGCCGGCGGCAGCCAGCCACCAGGGCACCCTAGCCGGCCGCTAGTGCCTCCCATCCGCCCAGCTGCCATGAGGAGGCCACAGACGGCCGCCAGCCTCTCCCGGCCGGCCACAGCTGGCTGGGAGCGTCGGCGGGATAAGGCACGAAGAAGAAGGCCCACGGGAAAACTCAGCACGAAGAAGGAGACTGTGCGAGGAAACTTAGATACATGCGACCTAGAGTCCGCGCATCTTTACGCGTGTGGGGGGGTTTTCCAAGTGCTAAAAGATTGGGAGGTGAGTTTGAGAGTTGTCGGAGATGAGCCTTTTTTCCATTTTTGCCAAAAATCATGGATTGGGAAGGTTTATTGGGTACCGTTGGAGATGCTCTTAGTTGGGTGGATTTTAGTAAAGGATTAAAACCTTTATCCTGTTAGGAGTGACAGTGTTATGCTGGTTGCTTTGGTTACACAGAAATGGTTTATTGTTTGAAAAATATATATTCTTCTTCCTTTGCAAGTTATACATTCAATCATCAACTGGCTCTATATTTAGCCTATTCTTCATAAATTGGATTCACAAGGGTTTAGTTATGGTGGCTTCGCAACCGTTGCTGCTAGTGGCTAATTAAGGACTTCTTTTTTAGATATATCGGTGACGGACTAATATATGGATTGATGATCACTATAATGTTTTCTTCTTATTCTCTTTTTGTTGGCCATATGTGTTCTTGTTAGGCAGAGCTTGGAAGAACTTCCTCAAAACCGTGTATCAATATCAACTTGATGTAGTGCGCGCGCTACTGATTTTATTTTTTAATAAAATCCTAAGAAAACCGTGAGGCCGAAGTAACGTCCTCTCTCATGAACTCAGTGACAACCATTTTCGTCGGCATTCACATTCACGTATGCCTTCCAACCGCCTCTCCTTGATTCTCTCTATCTAAAACAGAATCATCATTATCCAAAGAGCACGAACGCAATCGGTGGATGACTCATCCATATTCGAAACGAAAGACCGCTCCGAATTTTGAAACTTTGCTGCGACCCGCCCATTTTCCTCTCACCCGTCTCTGACTCTTATCGATCTACTAGCTAGCTCTCTCTATATATGTTGCCCACTAGTGTGCACCCAAACCCATCGCGCAGCACCACGTTAACCAGCAACAAACATAGCTAGTGGTTAGGTCTCCCTCCCAACAATGGCGGCGTCCCCGTCCCATCTCCTCGTCGTCCTCGCCGTGTTGCTGTTGTGCAGCACCGCCATCCCCATGGCCTCCTCCTCCACCACCACCACCGTGAACGTGACCAGCTTCGGCAAGGCGTACACAAAGGTCTGCGACGCGGATCGGTTCGCGGAGATGGGCCTCAACATGTCGGCGTTCCCCTACTGCGACGCGTCGCTGCCGTACGCGGACCGGGTGCGCGACCTCATCGGCTGGATGACGGTGGAGGAGAAGGTCGGCAACCTCGGCGACATATCCCACGGCGCGCCTCGCATCGGCCTGCCGCCCTACAAGTGGTGGTCCGAGGCACTGCACGGCATCTCCAGCACCGGCCCGACGGCGCTGTTCGACGACCTCCACAGCAAGCCGGGGAACCACTCCGGCCGCGCCACCGTCAACAACGCCACCGTCTTCGCCAACGTCATCGACAGCGCCGCCTCCTTCAACGAGACGCTCTGGAAGTCCATTGGACAGGTATATATGTGTACATTTCGATCGATCTTCACAATAATGTTTTTCTTTTGTGCTGCCACGTTACCATGTCTCAATAGAAACATGCATATGTATGTACATCACAGATCGGCATTGCATCTGTACGTGTTATTTGCATTTCGATTTCCGTCGGCATTTCGAGCGTTTGTAGCTAGATCAAAACATTAGATCTACTATATACACTAATAGCAGATCTGATGGTATATGGATGAATGCAGGCTGTTTCGACGGAGGCACGTGCGATGTACAACCTTGGCAAGGGCGGGCTGACGTACTGGAGCCCCAACATCAACGTGGTGCGCGACCCGCGGTGGGGCCGCGCCCTCGAGACCCCGGCGAGGACCCCTTCGTCGCCGGCCGCTACGCCGTGAACTTCGTCCGGGGCATGCAGGACATCCCCGGCCACGACACCGGCAGCGGCGGCGACCCGTCCACCCGCCCTATCAAGACCTCCGCCTGCTGCAAGCACTACGCCGCGTACGACGTGGACGACTGGCACAACCACACGCGGTTCAAGTTCGACGCGCGCGTCTCGGAGCGCGACATGGCGGAGACCTTCCTCCGGCCCTTCGAGATGTGCGTCCGCGACGGCGACGCCAGCAGCGTCATGTGCTCCTACAACCGCGTGAACGGCATCCCCGCCTGCGCCGACGCGCGCCTCCTCTCCGGGACCATCCGCGGCGACTGGCAGCTCCACGGCTACATCGTCTCCGACTGCGACGCCATCCGCGTCATGACGGACAACGCCACCTGGCTCAACTTCACCGGCGCCGAGTCCAGCGCTGCCTCGCTCAGGGCGGGGCTCGACCTCGACTGCGCCGAGAGCTGGATCGAGGAGAAGGGCAGGCCGCTCAGGGACTTCCTCAGCGAGTACAGCAAGGCCGCCATCGAGCAGGGCAAGCTGCGCGAGTCCGACATCGACAGCGCGCTGAGGAACCAGTACATGACGCTCATGAGGCTGGGATACTTCGACAACATCCCGCGGTACGCCTCCCTCAACGAGACGGACATATGCACCGACGAGCACAGGAGCCTCGCCCACGACGGCGCAAGGCAGGGAATAGTGCTCCTCAAGAACGACGGCAACCTGCTTCCTCTGGACCCGGAGAAGATCCTTGCCGTCGCCGTGCACGGACCACACGCCCGGGCACCTGAAAAGGTCATGGACGGCGACTATACAGGTCAGCATATGCAGTGTGTCAATCAGGTAGTGGAAAGGGCGAAAGGCCGGCCGGCGTGTTCAGACTTCAGAGTTATAATGATCGATACTCATGCATTCGTATATGATCTGCAGGACCGCCATGCCGCTACGTCACGCCGCGCCAAGGTATAAGCAAGCACGTGAAGATCTCGCACAGGGCGAATACGACCATCTACTTGGGTGGCATAAACCTTCACATCGAGAGGGAGGAAACGACAGGGAGGATCTTCTCCTACCCAAGAACCAAACAGAGGAGATCCTACACTTCGCCAAGGCCTCACAGAACCCGATCATCCTGGTCATCCTGTCGGGAGGCGGCATCGACGTCTCCTTCGCGCACAAGCACCCCAAGATCGGTGCCATCCTTTGGGCTGGGTACCCTGGCGGTGAAGGTGGCAACGCCATTGCTGATGTCATCTTTGGAAGATATAACCCAGGTAAATAAGTGAAAAGACCATACCACTTCTTTCTTGTGCATTACTATCACACTAATTTTTGTCCAATAATGTTGTTTTATCATTTTCTGATTGAATGATGAAAAATAGGTGGAAGGCTGCCACTGACATGGTTCAAGAACAAGTACATCCAGCAGATCCCCATGACGTCCATGGAGTTCCGGCCAGTGCCGGAGAAGGGTACCCGGCAGGACGTACAAGTTCTACGATGGCCCGGAGGTGCTGTACCCCTTCGGCTACGGCCTCAGCTACACCAAGTTCCTCTACGAGACGAGCACCGACGGCACCTCCGTCACGCTCCCGGCCACCGGAGGGCACTGCAAGGGGCTCAGCTACAAGCCCAGCGTGGCTACCACCCCATCCTGCCAGGCCGTCGACGTTGCCGGACACGCCTGCACCGAGACCGTCAGCTTCAACATTAGCGTGATCAACGGCGGCGGGAGGGGCGGCGCCCACGTCGTGCTGGTGTACGGCACGGCGCCGCCGCCGGAGGTGGCCCAGGCGCCGATCAAGCAGGTGGCGGCGTTCCGGAGGGTGTTCGTGCCGGCCACAAGCACCGCGACCGTGCCCTTCACGCTCAACGTGTGCAAGGCGTTCGGCATCGTGGAGAGGACTGCGTACACCGTCGTGCCCTCCGGCGTAAGCAAGGTGCTGGTCGAGAACGGCGACTCGTCGTCGTCGGTGTCGTTCCCAGTCAAGATCGACTTCTCCGTGTAGCGCATGTTTAATTTCTCGTTGCGATGTTTTATGAATTATTAGGAATTAGGATCTGTTTTCGTCTCTCCGCGTTCAGCGTCCAGCTGAAAACTAATGGAGTTTCCGTAACACTCGTATCGAGTTGAATCATTATGTTCAGTTTCTGAAAAGATACCCGGTGTTCATATCTGTACTTGAATAATAGTACCGACTTGCTAGCGCCTCCGGACGCTACTCGCACATGGAGTGAGCGAGCGCCTACATCAGTGGGCCCGCACCGCTCCGGACGTCGCCCACGCCGCACTGAACGTCGCCCACGCCGTCAGCCGCTTGCCACGCGCATCTCATATGCAACACCCGATCTACTTTTGAAATATCCAGATGCAACAGTTGCAACATAAAAAAAGACACATGAAACACTTGAAACAAGCGTCTGAAACACTTGCAAAAACGCCTGAAAAACATTTGAAAATCATTGCAAACATATGCAACATTCAGATAAAATACTTGCAAACATACGTATGAAACACCTGAAAACACTTGAAACATATGTTTGCAACATGCGTGTATATGCAACCTCCATATCCACTTTTGCAACATCTAGATAAACCGTTTGCAACATTCGTCTGGAGCAGATGAAACATTTAGGATATACACTTGAAACATATGTGTATGGCCATTGCAACATGTGTAGCATCCCCGATCTACTTTTGCAACATCGATATACAACGCTTACAACATACCTCTCAAACTTTTGAAACATTTTGAATTGTACATTTGCAACATGCATCGTATCCCGGTGCGGCCTCCTCCGCCGTCTTCATCGGGGCGTCGACGTACCACAACCGTAGCAGGAGGCGAGGTCAGAGGGCTTTCGTGCGAGGGCACGGCGCTTCTCCTTGCGCTGGCAGCACCTGTCAGCGTCATCAGGCGAGGCGGGCGGCGAAGCAAGAGTAGTGTCAGGAGCAGCGGGGTGAGCGCGCGGAACAGGAGCAGCAAGTTGGGCGGTGGAGCAGGAGCAGCACGCGGAACAGGAGCAGAAGGAGCGGGGCGGGCGGCGGAGCAGGGAGGAGTAGCAAGGTCAACGAAAGGGATGGATCCGGAAGGTTTATTGGGCTAGGACGCTAGCCCTAGCGTCCAGACGGGACAGACGTCCTGCGTACAACATTTCCGATAACACTACTGAAAATCAACAATTAGCTTGCTCATTCTTTTCTTTTCTTTTTTCTCAAGATAACAGAGACCTTTTTACCGGTTTTAACTTTCAACTTTTTTTTCCCAAAGAAGCAGCATCAGTCAACTTTTTTTTTCCAGTGATTGAAGTTTGGGTGTCAAATAAGAGAATTTTTCTAGTGTCAAATAGAAAGTTTTCTCTCAACTATAGGTGGAATATTTGCAGCATTTCTTGATGTGCCAACAAATTATTAAGTACTCAATCCATCCCAAATTGTAAGACTTTTGACTTTTTTGATTTGACCACTCGTCTTATTCAAAAATTTGTGTAAAATATCACTTCTTTCGTCGTGGTTTGGTTTATTAATAAAATTTCTTCAAGAATGACTTAAATTTGATTATATTTGCACAAATTTTTTGAATAAGACGAGTAGTCAAACTTGGGGCCAAAAAAGTCAAACGTCTTACAATTTGAGATGAAGGGAGTAGTATCCTTTCGTATCCTTAACCAAAATCCTTGCTTGTCATCCAAATAAAATCGGAGGGTAGCGAAATAAAGTCTGCATTCTGGACATGCGGTTGAGGGAAAGGAAAAACAATTATTGAACAAAACTATGTCCCGTATAGTTCATTCAAGCTCCAGATAGTTCTAACATCAGAATCAGAATTCTATATTCTTCATGATGACGCTGTCAAGCTCTGCCCAAAGCAGTCAGCCGTATTACATGCGAGAAGATTCTGTAACCTCCAAAGAATAATCCATCTTTCACAATGAACAGATCCAATATGCACGAAATTTGGTGGAGATATGCATCTATGCGTATACTATGGTCGTTCTACACGAGTTTAGCTTATATCCACGGCTTCGCCAACAAGTTTTACATTGTACTCCAGTCCGCAACGGCATTTGACAGGATCCGAAATTCCCTGCATGCAGGGAATGAAATTCACATGTTAAAATTGCTAAGAAGAGTTCCATGAAGCATGGCCATGAGTAAAGCAAACTGAATAATTCCTAATTGTTTTAGTCATGATGCGGCATCCAAACTGAACAGCACCAAAGTACCTTCATCCCATTAATTGTTTCATCAAGAGTCTGGAAGTACTCAACTTCCCCAGATTTATCACCTTGCAGCGCTTTGTATTCCTCCTCCAAGGACTTCATATCCATCTGCTGTAGTGCAGCCTGCAAGCACCAGATGACAATGCATGTGGGAAGAATTTAACATGATCAATGAAATTACAGGAAAGCCAGCAATTATGTTTTTCTCTTGCTCTAGAATCTGCTTGATCTGCAAAGTATATTCATGTCTGTTAGTTTCACTAGGTACATACAATAATAAAGAATCTTAGGTCCTAATTGATATACTTTGCTGATTTCTAAAAGAAGCGCTGATCTCTGTGATTTGATGTCTTGTATCTTGAGCTGAGCTGACACCAGTTGAGTGTAGAGTTTCCTGTGCTTGTTCCGAGGATCACTTTCCTGTTTGATTGAAAACTGAAAAGCACATCACAATTTGCATAGTTGTGGGAATGGAGGAAGGGAGGGGTGTGAATACTAACAAACTTATCTAGGCTCCCTACTGAGTTAAACATGACATGTTTCTCCCCTGCAAGTAACACCACATCGAAGTTCAGTCGAAGTTACAAAATTTTCAGTTTGATGATTTGACTAGCTACTCATCTGTGTTTTGCCTAATGTTGTATCCATACATGTGGAAAGGCAAGATTATGTAAATTTCAATAGTCCTTGGTAGGAGGGGGGAAAGAAAAATTACTAGTTTAACAGCCACACAATGTAAACAATAATAAAATATGTCACACTGGAAATGTACCCTGTGCAATAATCTCCTCATATGTGGAAGCATGTCAACATGAATACAACACAGGCATAAAATGGCATGGAACGACACTAACTACTTCCTCTGTTTTCGGAGAAACCAGTACCTTCAATGAAGTTTTGCTTGCTCTGAGATTTGGCAACCTGCATGCGTAAGTTCCAACACTTATTAAACATTGACTGCTTCATGTTACAAGCCATTAGAAAATGGAAATGACTTGACAGATATCCATGTTATGTGTTGAAATTATTCTGTTTCAGGCAACTATGCAAGAGCTGGGTTAAAATGCACAAACAGATGCACTAGAAAATACTTCCACTTGCGGCAGTTGACCCTAGGGTACCATTGAATTAGGAACTCCTCCATAACTGAAATTCTGGAACTCTCAGTGCAAGTGTGAACTTTGTGGACAAAACACACTGGTAGTTGATATGTTTTCCTGCCATTCTTTGACGTGAACCTAAATTGGCCATTTCTGTGGTTTCACAAAGATCAGATAATTTTTGTACAGTTTTGTTAGAATTAAGGCTAGGAATCAATCTATGCAAGGCATCAATCATCATCAGGGATTGACTGGGAAAAAGTGTCAGTCTAGGATCCAAATATGTAGAATTTATGTTGGCATCTGACTGTGCATGGTATGGTAATTCTGTTACATGTTGTGACTCTATATGTCTAGAAGTGAGATACATGAAAAAGTTGAGCACTGCAGGAAAATGACTAATTTACGACACTTTTATAATGCTAAGTTCACTTGTTTGTATAACACTGTTCCTGAACAAACAAATGATGAGATTTAATGCGCTTCTTGATGGAAGTTTTATCAAGATTAAAATGCAGTTCCAAATCCAAAATTGACACCCCACATTCAAGATCTCATTAAACTGATAAAGTAAGTTCAATTTGAGCGTGGAGTTCACGAGTAAAACAAAGTCTACAAATAGTTTTAATACCATCATGATCTTCAGTTATCAATGTTCCCATGCTCACTGAGCTTTAGACTGCCCTCTTACTCTTACTACAATTCTCAAGATCTTATTATCCAAATAAAAATAACATATTTAAATAAGGATCGAACATTAATGAAGTCAGCTGACTGTAGGTCGTGGTAGTTTCCCTCTCTAGCATAGGTGCGAATGTAATTTTATAACTGGATAAAGTGTGTGGCGTGGGTGTGTTTCAAGGGTTTCTTTATCCCCTTTTTCTCTTCTTAATATTAAAGATATGCAGCTCTCCTGCGTTTTCAAAAGAAAGAAAAAAAGCATAGAGCTCCTGCAGACAGGGGTGGCACCAAGCTGAACCTATAGTTGAAGCCTTAAGCCATCATTACTGCTGGTTCTCAGTTGTCACTACAGTGCTAATGTTTACACCGCCACACACCCACTCATGTTCCTCCTCTCCTTCCCATCTCTGATTCCGTGAGCTTGTTAGTAGTATTACCTAATCTTAACAAATGATACAAAATTACCCATATGCTTTCTGATTTATATTTGTGTGCACCAAAAACTTCAACAATATAATAAGTGACTAGTCAATAATAGTTGAATTAGATTTCTACACAAAAACAATAATCATGAAAACAAAGCAGACTGATTTATTTACGTGAACAAAAGGCTTACATGTGGCTCCTTTCTAGTAATCTTATTCTTCATACTAAGCCATTCCTGTGAAATAAACAATGTAGGATTGTTAGGCAATGGCATCTACAGTTGGGCCATCTTTCTCAAGAGACAAATAATATTGATCATAAAAAGTAATCATGAAAACAAACAATAAGATAAACCTGTTGCTCCTGTAGTTTGACAGTCAAGGTTTCTGTTGTCTTTTGTAGAACAATCTGTCCACATAAAAACTTATAGTTACTGTATGTTACAACTTAGAACTTATGGTATGTTATTTTCAAGGGATATAGTTGCACCTTTTCTCACTGAGTTTCACAAAAGTACTTGCAGTTTCCTGATGGAGGAGCTCCAAGGTCTCAAGTCATGAAGGGTGGAAATGAAGTTAGACATTTGAATATACTCAACTTAATATTTAATGTGGTTTTGAAAGTTCCTTCAAGATATTTAAAATGAAATAAGTTATACGGTAGAGTCATGGCGCAAATTTGTATCTATTATTAAGACAAGATGAGCAAAGGTCAGATATTCACAAACTAGTGAAAATATAGGGAAGATTAAGATAATATGACTTCAGTCTTGTAGGAAAATTTGTTCGGGGAGATTACCATTAAACATGCTTCTTTAAAGAACAACTTATGTCCCAAACAATAGCCTGTGTATACTGTTGAGTTTCCATTTTGCAATGATGAAAAAAGAACTCATTCTTTAAGACAAATAATAGTTTTAGAAAAAGGTAAATCTCACATAAGAAACCACTTATAGGATATGCATCTTATAGTCATGAAAAACCAATAAGTAAATCCAGATTATGTTACCATAAGCAGCATAGTCATAGCAATTACAAATATAAGTAACATACGTCTATTGCCAAAAAGAAAAAGAAAAAAACTTAAAAATGTTTGAAGTCTTGATCAAAATTGATTACCATCAAGGAAGCTTAGTCTAGTTCAGTTGGTTGAGGGTGTGAGTATACACCCAGCCACATATGTTCAAGTCCATGTCGAGGTGAATTTTTGTGCCTATTTTCTTCCTAATATACAAAGCTACCTATTTCCTACTAGATTCGTCTAGTTTTCTTTAGAAAATATGATTAACAGCTGGCAACATTTTTAATCCAAGGCACCCAAGAAGACCCCAGCAAGAACAGTTTTGTCATGAATTTTTAGATTTTAGTATTTGAAGGAAGGAGAGAAGGGAAGGGGAGCCTTGGCGCAGTGGTAAAGCTGCTGCCTTGTGACCATGAGGTCCGCGGGTTCAAGTCCTGAAACAACCTCTTGCAGAAATGCGAGGGAAAGGTGCGTACAAAAGACCCAAGTGGTCGGACCTTTCCCGACCTGCATAGCGAGAGCGCTCATCTGCTTTGGGGCTGCCCTTTTTAAGTAAGGAGAGAAGGACATTTATAGGATGGCTAGGGCTCGCGATAGGAAGACAAGAGACTTCAACCAAGTCAAGTGCATAAAGGATGAGAGGGAGCAGCTCTTGGTGGAGGATGAGATCAGACATAGATGGCAAGAGTATTTTGATAAATTGTTCAATGGTGAGAACGAGAACACCACCGTTCAATTTGGACGACTCGTTTGATGACACTAACGGTAGCTTTGTTGTGCGGAGGATTCAAGAATCGGAGGTCGGAGAAGCCTTGAAAAGGATGAAAGGAAGCAAAGCGATGGGCCCTGATGGCATCCCAATCAAGGTGTGGAGATGTCTCGGGGATATAGCTATAGTATGGCTAACCAAGATGTTCAGCAATATCTTTCGATCGAACAAGATGGCTGAGGAGTGGAGAAGAAGCATATTGGTACCAATCTACAAGAAAAGGGAGATATCAAATTTGTACTAATTAT